TCACATATCCTTCATTATCATTGTTCATTAATTGCTTATTTAAATGTGGTATGGTGTGCCCTTTTGAGCAGATTTCATGAGACCTGTTCACAGCCTAAGCTGGCTTTCTCTCCTCTCCTCTTATGCAGAGAATGTTGATCTGAGCTTGCCATATTATTCCGCAATCCTCTCCCCATTGCTTAGGCAATATGCAAAGTTTTCGTTGATCATGCCTTTTTCAAGTCTCTTGTTCAAAATAATTCTTTGAATCATGATATCGATTGCCTTTCATATCTTGCTTTTTCTCGTAATTTCACGATATGCAGCTAGCCTTTCTGTCAATTTCCAGTCGATTTTGTATCCAATCCGTGCAATGTTTTCAGATATTTTGGATCCTTTCGTATCCATTTTTCAGATATTTTGATGTTTCTTGATTCGTAGGCTGATTTTTCTTCCTGTCTTACCAATATACTTCCGCTTACAGTTGCCGCTTTAGATACGATAAACTCCCAGGCAATTCAGTTTGTCAAGCTTATTGTGTTGCGCCGGCAACTGGTTTAAAGTGTTGTATTTTCCTTTATTATCACATTAATATTCCATTTTCTTAGTAACGGTCGCAATTTTTGGCTCAGTTTGCAAGAGAACAAGCATCATCACTTTTTATCGTCCCCTAGATTTCTGATTTTGTTTTCATAAAACTGAGTTCAAATCTGCTCTTTACGACACCTACATTTCTTTCTATAAATTATCTTGGGTACCCCTTACCAAGGCAAATCCGAATCAGTTCTTCCCACTCTTCGTCCCAGAATTCAGTGCCCATTTGTTTTAAGCTTCTGATTAACAAACTCCTCATTATTCCGATCTTCAGTCTGTAATTATGGTTAGACTGATAATTAAGGATTATTCTCGCATATGACTTTGTTCTGAATTGTCTTTTCAGGAATGTTCCATTAGAGCGCATTACTTTAATATTCAGGAAGGGTAGTCGTTCAACCTCCTCCACTTCCATTGCGAAATTAATTAGTTCATCGGGTTGGTGGATACAGTTCAGAAGTTCATTTAAATCTTTCTTACCATTGGACTAAAGTGCAAAGTAGTCATCTATGTAACGCATAAACACTCCTGATTGACTTCTATAATTCCCTTTCCAATTTGTCTATGTATACAGTTGCAAAGTAAGGTAAGGGTAGAGATCCCATTGGTAGTATAAATATTGGCTAATGCATACTGGCATTAAATGTAAAAAGGTGGTCCCTACTGTCGGGTTGATCCTTCGTATTAGCGACTCCTATCTTATCTGTTCTGCATCCAGGATATCTTCTTTTTCCAATATCTCTAGCAGGTCACTTAACGAGTAGGCGTCATTCGGATACAATTACTAATATACTTTATCACGACTCTATCCAGAAATTAGAGGAAAGTTACGAGACTGAGAAGCGTTACCTATTTATGTTCGTGGATATTAAGTCTAGATTTAGGAAGGATTTTGACAGTATTCTCAAAACTTCCGGGATATGACTGATCAGAAGTCACAAATTGTCCGGGATTTGATAAATTAGGGGCATGACAAGAAACTGCTTAGCTATGGTATAATAAAACAACGCAGGATCAAGCCAATCCGGCCAATTTTTGATGGTTCTGTATTGAAGGCATCATCTGCTACAAACTACGATAGGTATAATGTAGTAAACCTATCCTCCATCTCTCTTGATTCTTAAACCATGGATCTCATAAAGAATGGGTTTAATTTGTCTCTTGGTAAGGAAGAAGTATACGCACCATTAAACACGTAAGGCAGAGTGTGAGAAATATTGCCACGAGTAGCACAGATAGGGTGGCAGTGGTCAAATGAAATATCTGAACCAGGGAGATAGTGGACGGATCCTGCAGGCAAGAGGCAGACTCTGATGAAGCCTATGGGGAGAGGAGTGCAGAATAATATAGCAGACTCAGATTAACATTCTCAGCACAAGAGTAAGGATAAGAAAGCCAGCGTAGGCTATGAAGAGGTGTCATGAAATCTGCTCAAACGGGCACACCATACCACATTTAAATAAGCAATTAAGAAACAGTGATAGTAAAGGATAGGTGAACAGCCCAGGACAGAGGGAGAGCCAGCACACCTGCTTAACAGACAATTGGTCAATGGACCGTCTTAACTTGTCTATTTGACGAGTTGTAGTGTATTACTAAGAATGGCAAAGTTCACTGACGATGCCGACTATGATCGTGGTGAAACGTCTGGGAATGTACCAAGCCCACGGTCGGTTCCTCATATTTATCATGCATACTATGGGCTCCGTACAAGGTACGTTTCTCTTGGCCATCCTGCCAATATTATCAAGTTGCGATAAAAGGTCAAACAACCACCATACAACGAAAGTAGTCCGCTACCATACAAAAGGCCGCACCATTTTGGTCTTCATACCTTGAGAATCATATTTGAATTGAGCAGTCACAAGGGGAAATGAAAAACCTTATTCTATTTATTTTGCAACAGACAAACAATCAATAGTCACGATGATTTCGAAACCAGTAATACAATCTTTGGATGCTTAGTAATATTTATGAATGAGGATTTGGGCTAGTGTATCTAGTTAAATCTGGTTGGCGCAACGTACTAAAATTCACTGATATTTACTAGAAATAAAAAGCACCAAAATGATAGAATAGGGCTTTCCACTTTAGTGGTGATGTCATTTTGTCCTTTATATTATGCATATTTGTGCATGTATAAATTTCATTCGTTTTGTCAAATAAATCATTGCTAAATAAATAAAAACAAAAATTACAGAAAAGCATGTGGATAATACCTTTATCGGTCTCGATGCGCGGCTTTTGATTTGGAATGTCTTCCCGTCGTTCTTATAGTCTAAATTCTCTCCTCGCCTTTCTCTCTTCTTCTAGTGATAAATCCCTCTCGGATTCACGAATTAAAAATGTGGTACATACACGTTTACGCTCGCCTGACCAGGCAAGAAAGGTATATATTATTGTACCTTTGTCCCGATGCCCTGTATTATCCTATTTTAACGTCCTCTTCCCTTTTAGTCTTCCAGGCTCTCCAAGACATTCGGTACTTCCTGAATAATTTTTTTATTGTTACTCTAGCTTACGATGCCAAAGAGCCATCCATCCTTAGCGAACACAATACAGGCAAAGAGGCAAAGCTGGTCTCTAGGCGGAGTAGGAAAACAGCTAATATACTCAGTAAGCGTATTGTTATGTCAGATTCGCTAGATAACATGAGTCGGTTAAGCTTCGATGAATCGGATGGGGACTTTATAGGTAGGTAATTTTGTTAAGAGTCTATACACTCTACATTGACAGCGACCTCATCACTCCCGTCCAGCAGTGTCAAGGTAATTAGTAAATTATCTTCAATTTTTAGAGTCGAAATATTATTCCGAAATTCCGTCAACGTGCCCGGTCAAATTTC